TCTAAGCAAATTGGGTGTACAATGAACGTTCAACACAATCAAGGCAATTTATGAAAAGCACATGACCAGTATCCTGTTGAGTGGAGAAAAGTTGGAAGCATTTCCACTGAGATCTGGTAACAGACAAGGATGCCCACTCTCACCATTGCTATGCAATATAATCCTGGAAATTTTAGCCAGAGCCATTAGGCAAGAAAAATAAATCAAAGGGATACAAATTGAGAAGGAAGAAGTCAAGCTATCCCTATTTTCAGATGACAGGATTCTCTATATAAGGGATTCAAAAGATTCCACTAAGCGACTATTAGAACTCATACAAGAGTTTGGTAAAGTGTCAGGATATAAAATATAAAATTAATACACAAAAAATAGCCACCTTTGTATACACAGACATGTCAAGGCTGAGCTCAAGCTTGTAAGATCAATCCCATTCACAATAGCTATAAAAAAAAATCAAATGTCTTGGCATAAATTTAACCAAGGATGCCAAGATCTCTATGATGAGAAGTATAAAACATTAAAGAAATGGAAGATAAAAAAATGGAAAAATCCTCCATGTTCTTGGATTTGAAGAATTAGTATCATCAAAACGTCCATTCTTCCAAAAAAATTCTACAGATTCAATGCGACACCAAATAAAATACCAAAGACATTCTTCTCAGATCTAAAAAAAAATAGTGTTGAAATTCATATGGAAGCACAGGAGACCTTGAATAGCTAAAGCAATGATACAAAAAAAAAAAAAAAAAAAGCTGGAGGCATCACAATACTAGATTTTAAGACAAACTAAAGGGAAGTTATAATCAAAACAACCTGGTACGAGTCAAAAACAGAAAGATAAACCAATTAAACAGAAATTAAACGCCAGAAATCAATCTAGTCATCTACAACCAACATACATTTGACCAATCCCTGGAGCAAGGACAATCTCTTCACTAAATGGTGCTGGGTAAACTCAATGTTCACATGCTGAAGCATGAAGCAACATCCCTACTTTATACCTTAGACAAAAATCCACTCAACATGTATTGAAGATCTAAATCTATAACCCAACACCATCAAATTAGTACAGAACACTGGGGAAACCCTACAAGGTGTTGGTGTAGCAAAGAGTTTCAGAAAAGACCCGAAAGGCACAGGCAATCAAAGCCAAAATTAACAAACTGTATTACATCAAATTGAGAAGTTTCTGTACTGAAAAACACACACTCAGGAAAGTGAAGAGACAATTGATACAATGGGAGAGATTATTTACCAACTTTGCAATTGATAAAGGATTAATAACCAGAATATACCGAGATCAAGAAACTCCACAACAACAAACAAACAACACAGTTATGAAAAGGGCAAAGGACTTCAAAATACATTTCTCAAAGAGGAAATCCAAGTGGACAACAGACACATGGAAAAATGCTTAGGATCATTAGCATTCTGGAAAATGCTAATCAAAACCACAATGAGGTTTCACCTCATCCCAGTTAGAATGGCTTCCATACACAATTAAACAAGCAACAAGTGCTGGTGAGAAAGTGGGGAGAAAGGTTGTACTTGTGAAATTTGTACTCCTTAAAATATAAATTTAAAAAACTAGAAAAAATTATACTAAAATTCACTTGGAAACTCAATAGACCCCAAACAGCTAAAGCAATTTTAAACAACAAATAGCTGAATGGATCACAATACTAGATTTCAAAACATACTCTAGGGCAGTTATAATCAAAACAAACTTGTACTGGCATAAAAGTAGCATGTGGACCAACAAAACAGAATAGAAACCCCAGAAACCAATCTACACATCTACAACCAACTAATCTTTGAGAAATAAGCTAAAATCAATCCCTGGAGTAAGTAAAATCTCTTCAAGAAATAGTGCTGGGAAAATTAAATCTATGCTTGTAAAACTATGAAACAAAACCCCTACCATACATCTTATACAAAATAACCTCACCCTGTATCAAAGATCTTAATCAATAACCTGATACCATCAAATTACTAGAGGAAAACTTTGCAAGACATTGGCATAGGCAAAGACTTCTTGGAAAACACTTCTGAAGCACAGAAAATCAAAGCAAAAATTGACAATTGGAATTATATCAAGCTAAGAAGCTTTTGAACTGCAAAGGAAACACTTAACAAAATGAAGAGGCAATTGACAGAATGTGAGAAAATATCCACAAACTATGTGACTGATAAAGAATTAATATGCAGGATCTATAAAGAGTTTAAGGAATTCAACAACAAAACAAAAAATCCTGTTAATAAATGAGCAAAGGACATTAGCAGATATTTTCCACTGAATGAAATTTAAACAGCAATAGACACATGAAAAACTGCTCAGAATCAGTAGCAAACAGGGAAATGCAAATAAAAAAATCACAAGGAGGTTTTACCACAACCCAGTTAAAATAGCTATCATCTAAAAATCAAAAAACAATAAATGCTGATGAGGATATAGGGAAAAGGGTACCTGAATACACTATTGGTTGGAAAGTAAAAAGTAAACTAGTACAATTATTCTCGAAGATAGTATGGAGATTCCTCAGAAATATGAAAATAGATCTATTATATGATCCAGCCATCCCACTCCTGGAAAAAGACAATGAAATCAGCATGTGAAAGAGTTATCTTTACTTTCATGTTTATTGCAGCTCAACTTTCAATAGCCAAGATATGGAATCATCCAAGATGTCCATCAACTGATGACTATACAAAGAAAATGTATATATACACTATGGAATACTACTCATCCATATAAAAAATGAAATCCTGTCTTTCACAACAAAGTGGATGCAACTGAGACCATTATGCTTACTGAAATAAGTCAGCTCTCAAAAGACAAATTTGTTTTCTCTCCTATATGGCAGTTAACATAGAATACAGAAATGTATAGAAATGAAACTCACATCTTGTGATGTCTTGAGATGTTCTTTTTAGCCCTCATTTATACTCCTGTAGAACCATTGTCTTCCTGCTTTTTACTTGTTGAATATTATGGCTAGTGGTGAATTAAGCTTGTGATTACAGAGTAGATTGAAATTATATCTATGCAAAAAACTAAAGAAAAAAAGGAAGGGGGAAGAGTGATTTAGGGAGGGAGAAGGAATGAGGGAAGTATGATTGTCTTCTTGGAAATGTACCTGTCAAATACATGAAATCTGTTCTCTTCATATTAATATAAAATTTTAAAAACTTAATCATGCCAAACAATTATGTTCACCTGTGTGACTATGCTGGGATCCCATGATCACATCCAAACTGGTGTGAACTAAACAGGGAATCCGCATGTGTTTCAGTTACAAACCCCAACCTTCAGTCCAAGCACTTAGAAGCCATGCAAAGGAGCTCCACAGCTCAGGTACCTGACAAATCTAGGAAGCAGAGTCAGGTTTCTTTCATTGCTTAATGCCAAGGTTCCCACAGTGACAAGGTTCTTGAGTCTCCCAGTCCCTCTGCTCCAAGCCCTCTGTCTTGCTCCAGTCACATACAGGTTCTACTCTATGACTGAAGTGGCTTCAGTCTCTGAGCCTTTCAAGTTGGAGCCACAGAGACATGGAGAGTACATCTTCCTGGTCTCTCTTATAGAGGGCTGGGAGTAGCAATGTGTTGCTGAAATCACATAGCCTGAGACATACTTCCACCATCCGGGTGTCCAGGAACACAGCTTGTTCTGGATGGGCTCACAGTCCACACCTGCAGTCTGAACAGAGCTGCTATGCCAGAAGAGTTGGGAATCAATGAGGGCAGAGCCCCAGGCAAAATTCAGGGGCTGCTACCGTGAGAAGCAGATGCTGAATGATCATGAACCAGAGCTGTCAAACATTCACTGCCCTGGCCTCCGACCACGGGGAAGTCACCAAGAATCTCCGCGGCTCCTTTCCTTCATCTTTGAGATGCAGGACGGACCAGTACGCCTCCTAGCATCTGCATACACCTCCAAGTTCTACACCAAGTCCTCAACCACAAACATTAAGTTTTTGGCAAACCTTCACTTCGGTAGCTGACTTCTCTCCTCCCATGTTCTTCCCTGCTTACCCCAGGTCTTCCTCCGGAGTGTGTCCAAGGCTCCAATAAAACCCTAGCTGCACTGGGATTTCTCTCACTCCTTAGCCACAATCTTCTACAGACCGAATCTCCAGATCTGCCCCTTATGCTTTCAGCAGGTGACAGAAGAACTTCTATTGCAATAGCTTAAGAACACACCCCCGGGTCAACCTAAAGTTAGATCACCCTTAGGACTGAGTTGCTAAGTTCTATATAGGCAGGAGTTGCATTCACTCATCTATACATATTTTTTTTTAACATTTCTTTTTTTTTTTTTTTTTTGACAGGCAGAGTGGACAGTGAGAGAGAGACAGAGAGAAAGGTCTTCCTTTGCCGTTGGTTCACCCTCCAATGGCTGCCGCGGCCGGCGCGCTGCGACCGGTGCACCGCGCTGATCCGATGGCAGGAGCCAGGAGCCAGGTGCTTTTCCTGGTCTCCCATGGGGTGCAGGGCCCAAGCACTTGGGCCATCCTCCACTGCACTCCCTGGCCACAGCAGAGAGCTGGCCTGGAAGAGGGGCAACCAGGACAGAATCCGGAGCCCCGACCGGGACTAGAACCCGGTGTGCCGGCGCCGCTAGGCGGAGGATTAGCCTAGTGAGCCGCCTATACATATTGTAAAGCCTAGAAGATAGTCAGAATTTAGGCAGTGTGGGATAAATGCTGCAGCCTACTGCCCTACAATCATAACCTATAAAATGTATTTATAAATATATACATTTGAAGTATCCTTGAGTATGTATTCATTGTATATGTAGCCATTATACATATAAACTGAGTATGTGTTATATAATACCTATGTATATAAGTGAATACCCTTTGAATACCCTTATAGTCATTGTGTAAGTATTATCTAATGAATATATATTTATGTAAATATGATTATTTTACATATGAACACATACAAGATGAATATATATGTATAAATAAATATATATGAGGGTCTGTCAAGAAGCTTGTGGGAAAATGGAATTACAAGGTAAGTTTACTTTTGGTCCAAAAATATTCTGAAATCCATGCATAGTTCTTTCCTAACAGGCTTTTTCCATGACCTTTTGTAAGACCCCTCCTACATAATATAATGAGATATAAACAGTTTCAAAGTTTCCATAATTCAGGCATTGATTCAAGCAGTTAAAAACGTGCCCAACAGCAGCATTGAAGACACATTGGTGAATAAAATAGACCAAGTCTTACTCTGAGCTTACATCCACGAGGAAGGCAGTAAGTGGATTAATAATTGAACATTACAGTGTCAGGGAGTGAGCATAAAACAGGGTAAGGAAATAGAGGAAGACAGGGATAGCGCTGGTTCAGAAAGTGCACACAGGGTCACCTCTAATGAGAGGATGTTGAGCAGGTAACCGTCCCTGGTCCTCACCAGGCAAAGCAGGAAACTTTGCTTATCCTATTTCTTATCAGCAGCTCTACAAACCAAGAGTCAGAGTTGAGCTGGTGATATTTAAATAGTTCCAAACTTCAGGGCATGAGTTCTATTGCAATTGCCAATGAAAGGTGTCAAAATTAGACTTATGATAGTTACAGGATGGTTAAAAGGTGTTCTTGGAGAAATGTATAATGAAGGAGGCAACGGAAGTGATGTGAACAGGAAGTGACCCCTGCAGCGACACTGTCATCAGCTTCATCCTGCTTGGGGTGGGTGTGCCCTGGGAGGCCATGGACCACGGTCACCAGATTTCCCAAGGCCTCACTGCCCTGGAGCATTCTCTACACATACAAATGTAGGTCCTTGCCTCCCCCGTGTTCATCATGGCCTCAGACAGACTCTCCCCAGGCCAAACTTCCTTCACTCCACTCAGGGTCTGTGGACTGAAAATACATGTCTCTCCACCAGTGTCACTAATTACCACTGCACCAGCTGAAGTGGATCTCCCACAGCGTCATCTCAGACTTTTCCAGGATATTCTTTCCCAGAAAGAGGTGTGTTCCAAGGTTTTAAAGATGAACTTGAAAGCCAGAAGATGGATGAGTTTCCCTTCCTCATTAAAGCATCATACAGGGGCTGGCACCGTGGCAAAGCGGGTGAAAGCCACCAGCTGCAGCGCCAGCATCTGATATGGATGCCGGTTCAAGTCCCGGCGGCTCCATTTCCAATCCAGCTCTCTGCTTATGACCTGGCAAAGCAGTGGAAGATGGCCCAAGTTCTTGGACCCCTGCATGTGCTTGGCAGACCTGGCTTCAGATGGGCCCAGTTCCAGCCATTGTGGCCATTTGGGGAGTGAGCCAGTGGATGGAAAACCTCCCCCTCCCTCCCTCTCTCTCAATTTTTCTCTCAATTTTTTTCTCTCTCTCAATTTCTCTCTCTCAATTTCTCTCTCTCAATTTCTTTCTCTCTCTCTTAATTTCTCTATCTCTTTCTCAATCTTTGCCTCTGCCTTTTTAACTACCTTTCAAATAAGCAAATCTTTAAAATTAAAAAGTCACTGAAATTCTGAGTGTAAAAGACTTTAAAAATGTGAGTACTCGACAGAGCAATGTCGCTCCCCCTCTTCGTGGAGGAACGACACTAAGCCCTGCCTAGGCTTCATATCCGAGTCACGGCACCATTATGTCGCTCCCCGTCTTCGTGGGGGAACGACACAGGACCCTGCGCTGTTCTTTCTGTCTGCTCGGCCCTCCCCGGGTTTGCTGCTGGTTCTTCCCGGGTTGGCTACTATCCCCTCCACCTCCGTGGAAGGGCAGTTCCCCCTGGCCACATTCCCCACTTCCGCAGGGGAGCGGCACACCGCCGGCCGGTTCTCTCGGGGGCTGCACGGGTTCCCTTAGATGTTCCCCATAGATGTTCCTGGTGCATGCCGTCTCTCTCCTCCTTTATAGTCCTCCTCCGCCAATCCCAACTCGGCTGCCCACACGCCGAGTACGCTGCTCTCCTCCAATCAGGAGCAAGTCCTACAGTTTATTAGTTGAACTGGAGGCAGCTGTGCGGAAGCTGTTTACTTCTCTCCCAGCGCCATATTGTGGGAGAGCAGATGCATAGAATAAGTCCTAATTCGAGTAACAGTATAGTCCGAATTGCTCCCCACAGAGCAAACTAATACAGAAGTTCATAATAGGGGAAGCTGGGAAGCTGGAGGAGGGACACTTGTACTGCTTCAATGTTGGTTTTGGAAATTTAAAACTAACCCAAAATAAAAAGCCTAAAAAGTCCAACACTTGGTGTCATAAATTTTGCTTCGATATTTCTATTTGTGAATAAAAAGACCCACAAACTTCATTTTTATTTTTTTATTTATTTTTTTTTTTTTGACAGGCAGAGTGGACAGTGAGAGAGAGAGACAGAGAGAAAGGTCTTCCTTTGCCGCTGGTTCACCCTCCAATGGCCGCCGCGGCCGGCGCGCTGCGGCCGGCGCACCGCGCCGATCCGATGGCAGGAGCCAGGAGCCAGGTGCAGGGCCCAAGCACCTGGGCCATCCTCCACTGCACTCCCTGGCCACTGCAGAGGGCTGGCCTGGAAGAGGGGCAACCGGGACAGAATCCGGCGCCCCAACCGGGACTAGAACCCGGTGTGCCGGCGCCGCTAGGCGGAGGATTAGCCTAGTGAGCCGCGGCGCCGGCAAACTTCATTTTTAAATACTACGTAAAATGAAGAATTTGGATTTACTGCCCTACAGGAGGTACAATGACTCCAAAATTCCTTGATGTCATGGCAGTGGGCCTTTGTTACACTGAAACAATAGATCATGAGAAAGGGAAACCCACATGCCCCATGAAAATGCATGTGATATTGATAGGGAGCTGTCTGTTTCACATTCTCCTTTTAAGTGGCAGAACTCCTTGGCCACATGATGGACACTCAGAACGTATGCTGTCCTGACTTAACTGAACAGATGATAGAGACTAGCTCTTCACAGTAACATTTCATTGACTCCAGATGAGTGCATGTATATGCACCCAGGGAGACGCAACGCTGAAGCTCTTAAGCAGTTAACTGAAGGCAAATAAAAATATAGTAATTACCTGGTTCTTCTAAGTAAGTGGACTTAGTAGACTGAATGACATGGCATGCATCCTATCGAATACAGTATTTGGTAATGTATCATATATGTAGTTTCTCCTTTATAAGTTCTGTTTAGAAGACATATATATGTATATTCAAAAACATAGGCTTTCAAAAATGTTATGTGAATGTGTATTAAGAACTGTGCATACATTTCAAGATCACAATACACAAAATAAGCCTAGTTTTTAATTCCATTTTCCATGAACTTTTTTTTTTTAATTTGATAGATAAGATTAGAGAGACAGAGAGAAAGGTCTTCCTTCCATTGGTTCCCTCCCCAAATGGCTGCTACGGTAGGTGTTGCACCAATCCAAAGTCAGGAGCCAGGCGCTTCCTCCTGGTCTCTCATGTGGGTGCAAGGGCCCAAACACCTGGGCCATCCTCCACTGCCCTCCCTGGCCACAGCAGAGAGCTGGACTGGAAGAGGAGCAACCAGGACTAGAACTGGCGCCCATATGGGATGCTGGCGCTGTAGGCGGAGGATTAACCAAGCGAGCCACGGTGCCGGCCCCTTCCATGAACTTTTTGAAGCATTCTCAATTACACTGTGTTTTTTACAAAAAATTTATGTGTGTGTTCATTGTGAGTGTATATTTATATAGATACATACACAGATACAAAACACAGCATGTTAATATACACAAATTTTACCCAATCATGTCTCTTAGGCATGTGAGATTTTTTTAACCTGTACTATAGCAATATTGCTATCTGCTTCAAAGAACTGTCAAATGAATGAAAGGGAACATTATAGAAATTAACACTGCAGGGGGAGTAAGCAGAGGAAAATGATCATTTAATGGTCACTATCATCACCAGCAACTTTACTAGCAGCTTAAAAGCTAGAATCAATAATCCCCATTTCACAATTCCTCTGGTAAGGAGTTGAGCTGGAAACGTGAACCACATCTGGCCAGAATAATACCCAAGAGTATTTTTTTAATGTGCAAGATGCCACATAGTTAAGGGATTTTGTCATTATGATACTATTCTACTTATTTATTAACTTGCCAAGCTTTTAACACATTTTTATCTTTTGACCACAATTAAATGAATAAAATGCTAACTAAGCTATTTTGAAATGCACAGAATGGACTATACTCTAACAAAATAGGCAGTAACCTTTTTCACAGAAGAATGCATTAATATAATCAAATCGGCACTCAAAGTGAAATTTGTGAGAATTATGACTTAACAGTTTTTTCTACTGGAACAAATGAATTAAATCATTTACTATTTTTGCAATACATGGGCCACGTAGTTATCGTTTTTTTATTATGTCAGTTTTTCCATGTTAGCAAAGATACACCTTTGGAATGTCTGTGGTGAATTTTGAAGAAAAGCCTATGTTGGGGCCAGCAGTGTGGCACAGTGGGTTAGGCTGCCAGAGAGGACAATGGCATCCTGCATTCGCTATTGGAGTGCTGATGCAAGTCCTGGCTCCTCCCCTTCAGATCCCACTTCCTAGTAAAACACCTGGAAACGTTGTTGAAGATGGTCCAAGAACTTCTGTCGCTGCCCCCATGTACGCGACCAGCATGGAGTTTTTGGATCCTGGCTTCAGTCTGGCTCAGCCCAAGCTGCTGTGGGCATTTGGGGGAGTGAACTAGAGTGTAGAAGGTCTCTCTCTCTCTCTCTCTCTCTCTCTCTCTCTCTTTCTCTCTCTCTCACATCTCTGTAGCTCTGCCATTCAAACGAATCTTTTTTTAAAAAGCATGTCATTCTGGAAAGTGTTAAAATAATCTTTAAAAATGAAAACTGTTTATTTTACTCTGGCAAAGCATTTTAGGATGCAGGTACAAAATTTTTTAAATACTTTTTTTCCCAGAGGTACAATCCCTTGCACTACACTGGGCTTATACCATGTATGAAGTTTTCTGGTAAATACAGTTTTCCTCTTTGATGAGCTCTGGGAGAACATAATAGAAGAGCACAATGCAGTATGTGAATCAATTCTTTTTGTATTTATTTAGTCAAGTAGGCATTTTTCTCGAGCACAAATTAATGTAAATCAAGCATAGCAAGAACTCTGACCTTTGAAATTATACTTGCATAGTCAGATTTCCCTAACAAAGTGCATGTTTACAGTATCTTTTATTTAAATCAATATCCTTTATGCATGAGCAGAGAAAGGAAAAGAGAAAGGCCAACAGCAAATAAAGAGACCCCAAATGATTTAGCTCAGCAGAGTGGAATAATGAGCCAGGCTCTCCCCAGCGTCCAAGTCACTCTGTGATATTTAGCTAGGCACTTACAGAACTGTATTAGCTCTTTCGGGTCATTAAGATGCCATTTTGTGCACTTCCATTGTCGACTGACTCTCCACAGCTTCCAAGTTGTTACTGGGGAGAGACTGCCACAGCGGGGCGAGTACATGGCATGATTGATTTCTGGCTTGATCGCAATCTTAGTTAATGGGTAGCCTTAATTTTCAGGGAGGGAGTGGTTACGAAATGTGTGTCACCAAAAAGAACAGAGGCACTGAGTTGACAGAATGGGATTTAAAAAAAGAAAGAAAGAAAAGCTTTGTTGGTATCCTTCAAAAACAGTAGCATTCATACAAAGATGCTTGTACAGTTTCAACTTACAGAGAAATTCTTTGGCTTTCGCCTATATGGACTTTATGAAATACTAAGTCTTTGTCAGCTTTAACAACAAATCAAAATGCTACATAAGAGCCACCTGTAGTTCAAAGAATGCTCTAGTCATCAATTTTTGCCCATTTTAAGGTATGAAACTTTACAATTATAAATTCAGATCCATTTCGAATTTCTACCTAATACTCATCTATTAAAGACAAGACCTAGAAAATGTTGGTTGGTGTAGTTGGTTGGTGGTTAAATGAAGAAAAAAATCGACCATCAGGGACAGATACCCTGCATTCTCAGGCAGGAGCCTTGCTTATTCCCTGATCCACATACAGACCTGCTGAAGCTCTGGACTCCACTGTTTTGTGGATGTCTCGACTCATTAGCTGACTATCATTACAGGGTTAATGGAGCTTTTGATGTCTGTCTAGTCCCTCAATTTTCCCCACTAAAACACTATGGTGAGCTGAATTACTTGGATTACAAATTATTACAATTCACCAGTTTTGGTTTTCTCCCATCATTAACCTAAGTCTTAAACTCTGGGTGATTCTGGCCCAAGAAAAAAATTATTTGAATTTTTATCAAACTTGTCCAGAATTTAAAACTCCTACTTGGGACCAGTGCTATGTCATAGCAGGTAAAGCCACCGCCTGCAGTGCCGGCATCCCATATGGGAACTGGTTTGAGTCCCAGCTGTTCCACTTCTGATCCAGCTCTCTGCTATGGCCTGGGAAAGCAGTAGAAGACAGCCCAAGGAATTGGGCCCCTGCCTCTGGATGGGAGACCCACAAGAAGCTCCTGGCTCCGGATCAGTGCAGCTCCGGCTGTTGCAGACAACTGGGGAGTGAACTAGTGGATGGAAGACCTCTCTCTCTGCCTCTCCTTCTGTTTAACTCTTTCGAGTAAGTAAATAAATCTTAAAAAAAAAAAAAAAAAGCCCATACTATCAGACTGATCACAATAAAACAAGAATTTTAAGAGAAGTCCTTGGACACTATCGATTCTCCCTGAGTAACTACAAGCATGGAGTATTGCTACTTGTGTATTGGAGAATAGTCTATCTTGATTTCAAAGTAAGTGTTAGAGACATATTTTCTCAACCATTACATGATACTGAATTGAACTTATTCCTCAGTAAGAAACTAACAGTGCACACTTTTCATAGCTTTACTGTATGTCAACATTTCTAAGCACTCTGGCTATATTATTTTGACAAACTATCTCAATCCTCTAAGTTCTGTTATTATCTCCATCAGAGGCACAGAGAGACTACACAACTGGCCTGCTGTTGCCCAACCAATAAAGAATAAACCAAGGATTCACACGCAGGCAGCACATCAGGACCCACACACCATGACCGCAAAGGTCCTTGGGGCTCTCTTGCAGAAACGCCTCGTATGCTCCTCACAACACGCCCCCACTCAGTGCTTCCCAAGCTTCCCCACAAACAAAACAAAAACAACAACAACCGACTATATGCGGGCAGCACACTCAGTTGAAAGCACGAGGTTCCCTTGTAGCCAGAGGTCTCATCCTGCAGCTTTCCTCTGGCCACCCCAGTGGCCAAATGGATCAACATTCCAGTCAAACACCCAGCCCATCGAGGCACGCAAGTTGGCCTTAGTCCAATGGCTGACAGGTTCTGATGTAAGTCTTTGTAACCAACTACTGCAAAGTTGGCCACAGCAGAGGCAGATTCTGAAGTAACTATTTCAGAAATTCGAATCATTACCAATTTTAAAAATCGGAGCTAGCAAACGAAGGACGACAACATGAAGTGAATAAGCTCACATACACCTTAGACAAATTAACTCATTGGGTTAAATCTCCAGTCATCCTCAGCAAGCCACGTACCCGTTGTGATTGCTCTCAAGACAAGACGCTTCTTTACAGGTATATGTTAAGTGCGTAGTAAGTTCATTTCCATTAATACTTAACTGGGGACCTGGAGAGCGTCTCTGAAATCAAAGACATTCCCCGGTGAACAATCTTTGGCAAGTGCAGTGCTGATGACTGCAATCAAAGCAATCTAGTATAAATAATTCACAGCCTTGCAGGTGATTCACAGATGGCAGAGAAAGACCATGTATGTGCACCTGCTATAGATTTTTAATGTGTGTAGCAAAAGACCCCAAACGAAGCACTTGCAAGTTGCACTATAGAATATTGCATAGGAGCAGCATACCCTACAATGATTTTCTTTCTCTTCTAATGACTTTCCCAGGACGCCCTTTGCCCTTAGGACACACCCATTTAGGGAAGAAGCAGTGTTATTATTCCAGGGCCCTCTGTATACTCGATCTTTCATCACAAACCCAGAAAACTTTTACCATGATCCAAATTGAAGATAAATGAGGGGACTTTCTCATCTACAAGAAAAAGCACTGCCAATTGTCTGGGTCCCTTTGAACAGTATCTGTATCTCTAATCTTTCAGTATTGTAGAAGTCCCATTTACGAAAGGTACTGTAGCAATCTTAGAAGGTCTTTATATGAGTTAAATATGAGTAAGTGCAATTATAGCTCCATCTTTTTTTTTTTCTTAAATATTTTACAGGTAGCATGACAGGAGTGGGGGAGAATCTTCCATCCACTGTTTCACTCTCCAAATGGCCGCAATGGCTGGGGCCAAGAGCCAAGAGCTTGTATCTCCATCTTTCTTAGACAAGTCGATTTAAATCTGCAGCATAGAGGTGAATCCGAAACTCTAGAGTTGTTTTATTCATTCCTTCATTTAACATATTTGGACTTCCACAAATCATTTGAGGTACTAGAAACTCAGAGGAATAGGGTATGGTCCAGTCTACAAGGAATTTTCAGTTCATTGGACAGAGTCATGAAAAAGACATGCTCTAAACCAGGGAGTAAGTACTGACAGCACGGTGGTGTAGCAGGCAAAGTCGCTGCCTGTGATGCTTGTATCCCCCATGAGTGACGATTTGAGTCCTGGCTGCTCCACCTCTGAGCAACTCCCTGCTAATGTGCCTGGGAAAGCAGTCCAAGATGGCCCAAGCGTTTGGGTCTCTGTATCTCCACGAGAGACCTGGATGGAGTTCCAGGACCCTGGCTTCAGCCTGGCTCAATCTCAGTCATTGCAGCCACTGGAGGAGTGAACCAGCAGATCGAGGACCTCTCCCTCTCTGTAACTCTGCCTTTCACATAAATAAAATGAATCTTCAAAAAAAAAAAAAAAGTACCGAGGCAATCAAAATGCTGGGTGTTATTAGCACAGAGACTGTGCCAACTGTAACTTCTGTTTGCTTAGACGAATGTGAAAATCTCCCAGAAGGAGGAACTTGTCAACTTGGCTCCTGCTGCCTGAGTAGGCAAGCGAGAATGGAAAAGGCATTCCCAGCAGAGGGACTAGCATACACAAAGCAGCAGTGCCATGAAAAGAAACGTGTGTTCATGAAATATCTGCATTTCCCTGGAGTTGGAGCAAAGGCTGTGCAAAGGAGACAGCAGAGGGGATAGGAGGCAGAGACCCCAGAGGGAGCCAGAACGGAAGTGTCGCCTTGCCTCCTCCATGATCAATGACTGGTTTTGCGCCCATAGGGTTTGATTCTCATTTCAAGATTTGCCATCATCAAGCGGCCTTCTTTCTGCTGTCCTTCATGAATTTACCTCTTCAACACTACGATCATTTCTCAAATAAGATACTAACTTACAGAAGTAATTACATTCTACATATGAATCCTAGGCTTTCAGCTCAATAGTGAGCTACTTAATTCCCTCTGATGCTTCCAAGAAGTGGTGTATCCTTGCTCTGCTTGCAGCCAGTATCATGTACTTGCACATCCTCCCTTAGTGGTCAGGGACTCTGTCACCTCGAGTAGGGTCAGTTGTTCTAAAGGTGCATTGCATTGGGTAAACAATAGAGTGTGAAACATCAGCTCTGAAAATATATAGGACAGAAATAAAGAATTGTAAATTCTTCGGTATACCAGAATTCCCTAAACCAATTCTGAACTTTCAGTTTAAAAATTCTGATTCTTAACCTGTTCTAACAAGTCTACACGCTGCTGTGGGTGTTCTCTTTTGGATCATAAAAGCTCTATTTCCTGAATTATTTAAAGCTGTTTTTTTGGTTTTCCTCTTTTATGAATGAGTGAATGTAAAAATGTTAAGAATTCTAAGTCAATAATTTGTCATAACACTACCCTTATTCAGACTCTTACATGAATTCCTTTAGAAGAAAGAAAAATTGAGCTGCATGGATATATTAAAATGATTCAATATACTGTAATTATGGGACTACTGAAGAGCTTCCCTTCAACAGCTGCAAGTCTTTAAAATTAATTCACAAGTATGTACACCCGTGCACTTACTCATGCATGAGTGCGTACACATACACACATACACACACACACACACACACACAGAGGCTTGTGTTCCTTGTTTATTAACCTCTTCCAGAAGTGCATTTCATGGGAGGGTGAATTGGGGAAATTCCAATCGATAAGCAGCAAAGCTGGATACAATAATAACTTGAGTAAAGAAGTCTTCTCAGCACCCCTACAGCTCTCTATGGAGATAAAAATATCAAATCAGAGAAAACTGTAGAATCGGGAAACAAGAAAGGCTGACATCGGAAAGTCAGAGCTTTGATGGATTTCTTCAAGATGGAGAAAAGAACAAACTGTACTCAAAGAACCCTGGAGAGCTGCAGAATTTTAGTTTGTTTAGGAAATAGGTGTGGGAGAATTTTAAAATAGCACGGGACAGTTCCCTTCACAGGGGTGCAGGGTGCGAAAGGAGGTCAAGGCAGTCCAGATGGCTACACCAAGCATCTCCATGTTTATGCAGTTTTTATTCTGTAGTCAGCAGGCAGAGGAGGAAGTATCAGCCAATGGGGACTTCCCTGAACAACAGACTGCTGTCCCAAAGACAAAGCTCACCTGACCACAATTGACCAAACCACCTCATGCAGTAAGCTGTTACAAAGAGCTGACAATTACTACAGGTGACAGTGGCGCAGCCAGCATATTTGATAACCAGTGCAGATAAATTATTAAGCATTATTCTTCTATGCAGCAAATAACAGTATGTAGTAAGCTGTAATAAACGTTATTCAGTTCCGTTTTAAAACACCACAGAAAAGGATAACTTTTTAAATTATTATTTAAATGTAGTAAAATATTCCATGCATGAACTTCGTGTTCAGACAAAAATATTGCACTTGCAGCTCTCACTGTTTAACTGCCTCAACACTAAAACACACAAATAAAAACTCCAGGAGGTCATATGGAAAAACTGACTTGAAACAATTACAGGGCTCGTTATTAATTTTTGTATTTTCTATTTAAGTACAGGAACATGAAGTGCCACCAAGATTGAAAACACCACCTCAACCCTAAGCCAGCATGCTTAGAGTTTTCAGCACAGTTGACAGCAAAAAGCAAACTGACTAAGTTGGATTTGTTATTGTTTTCAAGGTCTCTACAGACAATGCACCCCTTGAACCTGAACTCCAAGCCTTGATACCAAGTGAACAGAAGGTCGGACTCTTCTTAAAGTTACTGTAGTGTAGTCGAACACAAATTCACAAAGTCAGCCAAGAACTCAAAGAAAAACATATGGAAATATTGCAATGAAATACATTAGGCCTGAAGAAGCCAGAGAAGTAACCTACAGCCCTGGAACAAGAGAAACCATTTTTAGGAAACTTATGAATCAACAGTTAACTTTATTTTTTTCCTTTCTTTTTTTTTTAATTTTTATTTAATGAATATAAATTTCCAAAGTACAACTTGTGGATTACAATGGCTTCCCCCCCATAACGTCCCTCCCACCCGCAACCCTCCCCTCTTCCGCTCCCTCTCCCCTTCCATTCACATCAAGATTCATTTTCAATTCTCTTTATATACAGAAGATCAGTTTAGCATACATTAAGTAAAGATTTCAACAGTTTGCTCCCACACAGAAACATAAAGTGAAAAATACTGTTTGAGTACTAGTTATAGCATTAAATCTCAATGTACAGCACACTAAGGACAAAGATCCTACATGAGGAGTAAGTGCACAGTGACTCCTGTTGTTGACTTAACAAATTGACACTCTTGTTTATGGCATCAGTAATCACCCTAGGCTCTTGTCATGAGCTGCCAAGTGAACAGTTAACTTTAAAAATGTTTAAGGGTTTGGCAACTGTTCCAGGGGTTCAGAGTACCTGGGTTTGATTCCTGGCTCCAGTTCCCAATTCCAGCTTCCTGCCACTGCAGACTGTAGGGGAGGCAAAGGTGGTGCAAACTTCTTGAATCTCCGACGTGCTTGTGGCGACGTAGACTGAGCTCCGGGCTCCACCCTTGGCCCTGTTTGTGAGGGCATTTGGAGAGCGAACCAGCAGATGAACAAGATTGTCTTCCCTCTTTTGCTGCCCTTAAAAAACAAAGTAATTCACTGAAAAATGATCTAATTCCTTTTATTTCAGGATTAAAAAATTTAAACATGTTCTAATGTTGTTTATATGGTGTTGATACTTTAAAACTCATTGATAAAAATTCTGTATATTTATAGGTCATATTTGGTACTTGGTAAAGGTATAATGTTCGAATCAGGGTAAGCTTACATATCACCACAAATGTAAGACCTAAATGTTTATCAAAGGACCTTGGCAAACATAAAAATAAGTGATGAAAAGAGCAATACTGGGCTGGCACTGTGGCGTAGCAGGTAAAGCCGCTGCCTGCAGTGTTGGCATCCCATACAGGCACAGGTTCAAGTCCCGGCTGCTCCACTTCCTATCCAGCTCTCTGCTATGGCCTGGGAAAGCACTAAGAGATGGCCCAAGTCCTTCTGCCCCTGCACCCTCAAGGGAAACCCTGAAGAAGCTCCTGGCTTCGGATTGGCACAGCTCCAGCCGTTGCAGCCAATTGGGGAGTGAACCACTGGATCGAAGACCTCCCTCCCTCCCTCCCTCCCTCCCTCCCTCACTCTCTCCCTCTCTCCAACTCTTTCAAATAGATAAATAAATCTTTAAAAAAGAATAAAAGAGCAATGTTGTGATATGTGCTGGTTATGACTGTGTTTTACAAATAGAGGAGTGGGAGACATTCAGCAGGTAACTTTAAGAAATCTGATTCAGATTTCTCCTTTCCAATGCTAATGTCAGTAGACAATCAAACAGTATTTTCAGCATTTTGAGAAGGAAAACTTAACAAAACTTCAGCCCAAGAGCTGTTTATCATTGATTCTGCTCATGTGGAAAAGCCGTAGACATTTTCAGCCACTCAGGTGGTCAGAATATATACCCGTGCACGTACCCTTTCTGGAAACTCTTTGATAATGCTTCCCACCCATAAAGGGATGAAAAAGAATCAACACAAAGAACGAAAAGTCGGGTTAGCAATAACATACAAGTAGACAATAGGAAGAAGGCGGCAAATGTGAGGCTAAGTTCTCCCCTAGCTAGCTCCCAAACACCATTTCAGTCTTCATACTGAATGTCAAAGATAAACAATAAATCCAATACTTCTAAATGTCACATGTAACCACTGGTAAAGATATCTAATGCACATAATTTCCAAACTATGGAAGCCAGAGGGTAGGACAGAACAAGAAGCGAGCATAAAATGGAAACAGAATGATGAGATGGTTATAAGCCCAAATACACCCAGTATGATGATTAATGTAAGTAGAGTATGCTTCCTATTAGATGATAAACATTGCTAGGGTACATTAAAGAACAAATTCCAGACATATGTGACCCAGCTGTAGGTGATACTACAAATCCTCCTTGTAATATCAGACACTTTACAGTATCACTATTCTAGGGAGGTGAATTCTTCTAGATATGGCTGGGTTCAGGGTCTTCTCATTTCTCAATCTAAATCCCACTTGCATCTAACCTCCAACCTCTTCAGCTCTGGATTCTGTTTCTTTCCTGGGTTTCCTCTTCCCCGGTTCCTGAGAGCGCCAATGGTGTGCTCTTTGGTCATCACTGTAGTCTGGGAACCAGGAGAGATGCTAAGTTACACCGTTGTGTATCCTTCCTACATCTCAGACTTCCTGCCCATCCCCAGACCTCTTTGCAGAAAACTCTAACTTCCCCTTCATTAAGCAAGCAGTTACTCTAGCTTTCAAACCTCAATCATTGATCCTCCCTTTGCTTTCCCAAGGTCTTGTCACCATCACAACCCAAAACAACCCTCCTTTTGTAGGTCTCACTCCTTAGCAAGCCTGAAGAGTAGACTTTGAAACCTCACTGTTCACGTTCTTCATTCTACAAGTTCATGCACGTGCAAGGGAGATAGAGATGTTATTTGTCCATGAATACAAAAGATGCTGCCACCTGTTCCCATACCTTTTCCCAGTTCAAGACAGATGCCGTTTCAGTTAATTTGGACTTTAAGTTATACTATTTCCTCTGTACAAATATGCTATTTACATTCAGAAGTACCTCAAACAAAATCAAGACAATATTTCAAACAAACAGCAAGGAAAATGTATCAGGAAAACAAAAACAAGAAAAAAGCTTTAAGAAAAAATGTGGCCCACGTTGTGGCACCGTGGGTTCAGCTGCCACTTATGACAGTGCCCTCCCATATTGCAGGGCTGGCTGGAGTCCTGGCTGCACTGCTCCTGATTCAGCTTCCTGCCAATGCTCCAGTACTTGAACCCTGTCATTCACGTCGGAGAGCCAAATGAAGCCCCTGGCTCCTGCCTGGTCCAGACCTGAGAGTCATGCTATTTGGGAAGTTAACTAGTGGATAGAAAATCAATCTCTTGATCTTTCTATGTCTCCCCTTCACTGTTGTTTTGCCTTTCAAATTAATTCATGTATAAGAAAAAAAAAATCAAAGAAAAAGACAAGGAAAATATTAAATTGAAATGCATTATTTACATTGCTAATAGACACAATTCTCAAGACATACACAATGATCCTTGATCTTTGTTTCACGTAATCAAACATAATTGGAGTTAAATTATGAGCCATATAAGAAACTTATAAAGCACAATTATGGAGAATGACACTGCATATCTAATGCATCTATTTAAAAAATAGAAAAACTAAGATAAAATTAAAAAACGGGCCAGGGGTGTGTTACAGCCGGTTAAGCCACCACCTCCAATTCCAGCATCCCTAATGGGTGCCTTTTTTTGTTCCAGCTGCTCCACTTCCAGTCCAGTTCCCCACTAATGCACCTGGGAAAGCAGTGGAAGTAGCCTAAGTGCTTGGGCCCCCCTGCACCAATGTAGGGAATCCAGATGAAGCTCCAGGCCCCAGCCTGGTCCAGCTCCAGCCATGGCAGCCATTTGGGTAATAAACTGGCAGATCGAAGATCCCTCTCTCTCACCCTTCTCTCTATAATTCTTTCAAATAAATCTGTGGGGAGCAACTCAGACTAGACTAAGTTACTGGAATTAAGACTTATTCTATGCATCTGCTCTCCCACAATATGGCGCTGGGAGAGGAGCAAACAGCTTCTACCCAGCTGCCTTTCACCAACTTGACAAGCTGCAGGAGCTGCTCCTGATTGGAGGAGAGCAGCGTACTCAGCGTGTGGGTAGCAGAGTTGGGATTGGTGGAAGAGGACTATAAAGGAGGAGAGAGACAACATGCACCAGGAACATCTATCTGAAGGAACACCTGAGCAGCCCCCGAGAGAGCCGGCAGGCGGTGTGCCACTCCCCCGCGGAAGTGGGGAAAGTGGCTAGGGGGAACCGCCCTTCCACGGAGGTGGAAGGGATAGTAGCCAACCCGGGAAGAACCAGCAGCAAACCCGGGGAGGGCCGAGCAGATGAAAGAACAGCACAGGGTCCTGTGTCGTTCCTCCACGAAGACGGGGAGCGACATAATGGTGCCGTGACTCGGATATGAAGCCTAGGCAGGGTTTAGTGTCGTTCCTCCATGAAGAGGGGGAGCGACAAAATCTTTAAAAAAAACAATTTGGTAATTCTACCAAAGTACACATAGTTTTTTTTTTTATGATTCATAAAGTACTTAGAGAAAACTTCACTAAATTTTAAAAAATAACAATCAAGGGACTGGAGCTTAGCCTAGTGGTTAAGGTGTTGCTTGGGACACCTGCATCCCTTATCAGAGACTTGGTGTGAGTCCTTGCTCTGGACCCAATTCCCGCTTCCTGCTAATGTACACCCTGGGAAGCGGTAGATGATGGCTCATGCACTTGGTTCCTGTTACCCATGTGGGAGACCCAGATCGAGTTCCAGGCTCCTGGCTTCTACTTGGCCCAACCATAGCTGTTGCAGGCATTTGGGGAGTAAGCTAGTGGATGGAATCTCTCCCTCCCTCTCTCCCTCCCTCCCTCTCCCTCTGTCCCTTCCCCCTCATCTCCCTCCCCCTCCCTCTCATCCCTCCCTCATGTGTTTGTGTGAGTTTTCCCATTTCAAATAAATTTTAAAAATACCTAAATATAGCAGTCATTAAATTATAAGGCAACAAAATGAGAAACTACTATAATTCTAATAAGATGTCTATCAAGTTCTCTTTTGTATTTTAGTATGATTTTTCAGTATATCTAGAAGGACAATAAAATTCAGAAAATATTTTACATGAATGTCATTAATGAGGGAAAAATTCCATGTTTGACATAGAAACATTATGGGGGCTGGCGTTGTGGCTTAGTGGATTGAGCTGCTGCCTACAGTGCCGACATCCCATACGGGCACAGGTTTGAGTCCTGGCTGTTCCACTTCTGATCCAGCTGCCTGCTAATGTGCCTGGGAAAGCAGCAGAGGACAGCCCAAGTGCTTGGGCTCCTGCACTCTCACAGGAGACCTCGAAGAAGCTCCTAGCTCCTGTTTCCTGGCTTTGGCTTGGCCCACCCATGGCCATTGTGGCCATTTGGGGAACCAACCAGCAGATCCAAGACCTACCCCTAACTCTGCCTTTCCAATAACTAAATAAAGAAATATAGTATGGAAAACCACTAATTAAAATATGATCACACTGTACTATGTAGTATTTGGACTATGAAAGTCCCAAACCCCAAGGGTGCATAATATGTGTGTGTGTGTATATACACATTATAAAGTGTCATTCCATACCAAAAAAGAAAATAGACATGATTAGTCGATGAAGAATCTTAACTGATTCACTATTTTCCATTCCAAGGTATATTCACAATTGAATGTAACATTAAATTTGTTTGCTTTAAATTTTATTTATTTTCTTAGAGAGAAAGGCTGAAGGCAGGGTCTGAGTCCCTCACATAGGTGGCAGAGACCCAGCCACTTGAACCATCAGCTGCTGTTTCCAGGGCCGGCATTTGCAGGAAACCGCATTGGCACTGACGCACTGGGACTCAACGTGGGCAGTTTGACATGGAATGCACTGCTGTGGAAGATACTAAAGGATACAGTGACATTACATTGAGTTCTGTTTAACTGGAAGTTTCAGAAACAGACTCAGGAGAATCAGTAGGCAAGTGAAACTTCAGAAAGTACATGGAAAAAATCGACAGCTTTAATCAAAACCCTGCTCCCCTTCTCAACCCCCAGCCAAACCTGCCTCCCCTAACTTGCCTAACCAAAGTACAACCCATGCATTCAATTCTTTCAGAGTAATTCTCACTTCAAGTCCCTTGTACTTTGCTTTAATTATCCTCAACTTATAAAATACACCTGGCAAATAATTAAGACTCGACTGTTCCTAATGAAAAACAAAGCAGGCAAAAATATTCCCTATGAAAATTCATCTTCTCAAGGTGTGTTTTGATTCTGCTGTCTGAATTTGAATGTTCTGGAAACTAACTTCACAGTGAAGCATGACTGGGGGAACCGAAACCCTTGGGAGAGCCTTGGGTCAGTCATTGAGTGACCTCTGCAGTCCCTGCTTCCTCTAAGATCAGAGACCGAACAAAGACCCAGTAAAGCAAAGCGAAACCAAGCATGGCGGAGCCGGGCTTCCATAGGCAAGCCTTGGAGTGAAGAGCTCACATTCCACCCTGGAGTCACTCCACCCTGCAGGCAACTCTTCTCTCCGGCACATCGGCCCTGCACAGACACACACTGTCTCATTCACAAGAAACCAAAGCTCCAGGGGGTGGGAGGAGAGCAGGAATAGCCAAGTGAAATAATCAGGCTCTTTGCAGAGAGACTGGGGATTCATCCACCCCTTCAACTTCCTGCCCTGCCACGATGGCCATCGAGGTGCCTATGCTACTGAAAATGTGGTTCTCTCTTCCTTTTTGGCCAACTCAGCTGTGTCCAGATCTGGGGCTGTCTCTGCACACAAGGACTTGGGGAGCTGTCTCTTGCTACTCTGACTGGACTTGTCCCAAGAGAGGTCCCAGGCCAGCTCTGAGAACTGCAGGCTCATTTCCAGGCAATTAGCAATGGTGCTGAGGACCCAAACATCCGAGCCTGTTGATTACAGCCCTTCTCTACATGTGATCCTGCAGGCTGGTTGCTCAGTGCCTTTGCCCTCGTTTATCCTCCTTGAAGACACAGCTGCAGAGGGAGCGCACAGCACAGCTGCGCATCCTGTCTCAGCAAAGTGCGTCTCTCTTCAGCTGCTGCTCTCCCCGTGTCCTCAAACAGTCCTTCCAATGGAAAACCAGATGCCTAGCGCCAAGATCATTAGAGACCAAGTCTGAAGGACTCCATTTTAACTCTTCTCTCGCTTCCTGGCACCCCAGCATTGGAGACAGTCCAAACATGCACTTCTCCAAAGGGCAACTTTGTTCCCAAATAACATGCCCATTTTACAAGATAGAGTTTTCTTTGGCTGCTATTTCAAAACCCCCTTCCCGGGCCTCATGCCTGTGGTTACTTGTCTCTGGATGGCTTACAAATGGCCTCCTGACTCAGGTACCTGGGGGAGTCTCTCCCAAGTCACTATGTATTAAAGTTCTGCTAAATATATTAAATTAGATATTTCAAATTGTATGTTTGTAATGCACACACCCAGCAAGGTAAAGCGTTTCCAAGACGAGGTCAAATTTGGTTACAGGTGTGACGGAAAGTGTCCGAAGCCGTGCTGGGAAGGTCTATAATGTTCAATGAATGAACTCATTCTTGGACTTGAAAGGGCTCCATTTGCTGTTGGTATTAATGGTCACTGTTTAAAAGGTGGCAAAATAACAACTTACCTGTAAGAGGAGACGGCCTGTAGACATGATTCGTTGGATAGACCCTTTTGGTTTCAGGATTTGTTGAATTTCTACAGTTGGAGGGTTTTTTTTAATTTTCAAAAAGAACATCATGACCCATTGTGAAGTCGTCTTACTCAGCCTGAGAAGTCGTCTTCCAGAACTCAAAGTCCTAAAGTTACAAAGAAGGAGAGTGTACTTGTAAAACCAAGATGTTGCTGGTCTTCTTATGTTCTTGTAAGCCAAGGAGGCTTAGAGAGCAGCTATGGAAAGCTCAATTTCTATTATCATTAATCTCATATGTGTTACATCTTATCACATGCAAAATCCTCCTTCTTAATGTGTGATGCTCCAATTCTACAAGGCCAAGAGACAGGAGATCAATCAAGTCAAACATTCTTAACCTTGTTGAAAATAAAACCGCATTGTTTTTGCTATTCCCACACAGCTAGAAATTCTGTATAACCCTAAGATATGTTCACGAAGTCTCCTGTGTGTGGTCTCCAAGGTGACTATAAAATGGACAATAAACGTAACACTTTTTTTAAACCAACACTGATGGTGCAAAGAATGCCATTTTGTGTGTGTGTGTGTCTTCTGTGGTCCTCCGGCTCTCACTGCTTCCCTTCCCTGCCTAGAAGAGGTTTCACCTATTTCTAATCTGAAACCTAAAAGCTCTAGAAGTCAAACTGCCAAGACAAACACATGGGCTCAGGGGGAAGGCAAGGTGAGGGATGAAGCCCATCAAGAAATGCACCCTTTGATTTTACTTCTCCAAGTGTGGTCCATGAACTCTCAGTGTCACCACCACCTGGGAACTCGTTAGGATGGCAAACTGCTGGGCCACCCTAAACCATTGACCCAGAAGCTTTAACCCATCTTCCAGGTGATCACGTTGCCCACGGAGCCTTGACAGCTACTCATCTGTAAGCCGTGTCTGAAGTCTTTCCTCTGAACAAGGAAGTGTTCCCGAGACCCGCTGTGTGCTCACTAATGTGAGCAGTCATTACACAAGGGTATCTGAATACAGTAGCATACGTATTATTTTCTCTTCAAAGAAAGGATTGATTTGCAATGTGACCTTCCCAAACCAGAAACTGGGTTCTCTTTTTCGCTTTGAGGATAAATTCATTTGACTTTAGCAACTTCTTACCCATAGACTTAAACCTCATGCTAATGAACTTGATTGACATTTGGTGTGACATTACTGAGTAAGTAACTTTTGCTTCATTTGTTAAACACCAACTTCATGTGTCAGAAAATTCACCTTCACAGTTTCCCTTAGCTGTACTCTTGGGTGACACTAGAGATCTAGGACACACACTAACACCTGCTTATCCACTCCCCTTGCGATGGAAGAAGGCTAAGGCCTGCATGCCTCCATCTACTCTAGTGGTGCACTGTGCATTTATGCACACACATTTGCCACAGGAAGAGCAAAAGGCTTCAGAAGGGTTTTCGTAATACACTTAGGATAAACACCCATATTTTTAAGACTGAAAGATACGTACCAAAATAATACAGCTAGGGGAGTTAAGATTTTTAAAATAGTCATGTCACATATACTTTAACACAGTGAGCAAATGAGAAATAGTGGACCAAGACTGGCTGCAAATCTACTTTGCTGCTAACAGCATCGTGGTGATGAGAAAGCCAACACCGACCAGTGCTGGCTGCCATCCAGCCCTGTACTCCAATCACCTGCTTTGAGCCCTGGTAATTAAGATGCTGCTTCTTGGAGTGAAAACGAGTCACGGATGATCTGAAACTCTCGATGAGAGCGTCTTAGGACTTGAAAGCCAAATAACAATCTCACCATTGCAAAGAAAAACGCTACTTTCTCTCCAGTTTCCAGAAATAGGAGAAAATACCCAGACCTGAATGCCCAATAAAGACCATTGTCTACACTTTCTAGCAATCAAGTGTTGGGGGTGAGAAGCTCTAAACACTTTCCTGGGGAGTTTGGAGAAATGATCCCCATATGAGCAGAGAAAGCCCACAGCTCCTGGATTAGAACGACTTGGTCAGTCATGTTTCAGTCACTTTTAAAGAGAAAGCTGGTTAGGTCATCTGGTTAGGTCACCCGTTAATTCAGTGAGCCTTCTACAAGGTATTTACTTAAGCTAAGTTAGTACTTAATGAGCATCTCCTGTCAATCAAGGAACTTCAAGGATCAGGGAGCAATTTTTTTTTTTCTTCCCAGCAATCGATTTTGAGAACTCCTGGACACCAGCACTGTTCTCAGTGCTCAGGAGTTTGGAGGTAAATTGAAGACACACACATGTCTACCTTAGAGAACGAGTGCTTTAGTATAAGAAGACAACAGCGAGCAATCAAAGCAATGCCAAGTGCTACAAGGAAAACAGAGCAAGAACAGAGCTACAGAGTGTGTGCAGCAGGCAGGCAGCTGAAGGAGACGTCCCCAGGAAGGTGGCACAGAGGTGGACCCCAGAGGGCTTGTGAGGGGAGAAGGCACAATGAAAGGGAACAGGAAGTGTGGGGCTCAAAGGCTGGAGAAGTTCAAGTGTCAGAACAACATGACAGCAGCATGCTGATGACGATGAGGAAGGGAGAGAGGTCCAGGGGCCAGCACACGAGAGAACAGGGCCAGGTTACCTGGGGCGCGCGGGAAGGCGGAGGACAGGACCTCCCCTCTTCTCTGAGGGAGGCCAGCCACGGAGGGAGTTTGAGCCGAGACAAGAGACGCTGTAACGTAGGTCTTTATGCACCCACTCACCGAATCACGAAGACGAAGCGTACTCACTCACTCTTATCAGCTGGCGGACTCGGAGTGCTTGATTGGCGCCAGTCTCCTTGCATTTTCACAAAATGAGCCCAGTCAACCTAGTGCACCATTTGGTTAAGGAACCTGAGGCTTGAGAGTTGAAGCAGCTAGTCCAGTATCACACAGGAAGATGAGCGGAGCTGGCCTTCAGACACAGGGTTGCGGATCTTGACTCTGGGATGGGAACTTTGTGCTTCTGACTTCCCCGGGGCTCCAGGGAACAATGGGAGCCACGGCTCTGTTGTCTAGGAAGGTATAGGAGGCTTCAAGGAGGAGGTAACAGATGACCTTGGACTTGACGTTTGAGAGCAGGACCCAAGTCATTCTAGCAGAGCAAAGCCTGGCACGTTTCAGGAAGGGGTTTTGTGTCTGGCTCCTCTTGGTAGTCCATAGCAGGGGCAGAGATGAAACCAGACAGGTGATCTTTTCCTGTAACCAAGAGTGGGTAAGAAGAACCTCACCGAAACTTTGTGTGTATAATTATTTATCTCCTAGCCTTCCCAACCCATAGACAACAGGCTCTCTGAGGGCAGGCACCTGCTATTGGGTTGCTTCTCAGTTCCTTACCCTGGGCCTGTGGCGAGTGACGGTGGAATACAAGTGGGATCCGCTGCACTCCCTCAGCCAAGGGCCAGTGATTACCAGAGACCCGGCTACCTCTCCCCTCTGAGCTCCCACTGATTCCAGAACCCACTATCCCAGAGGGAGGTATGAAGCAGGAAGTGGCAGCCTCTGTGAGGTCATCAGTCCTTGCAGGGGAATGACAACAGGCTCCCTCCTTGTCACCCCTGTCACCTTATCTGGAGCTGGGCCAGTGATGTCACACACGAGACAACGTGGAGATGGAGTAAGTTCCAGTTGCCATAGGATTGGCATTGGAAGGAAGTAGTACACTCTGTAAAAGGACGGGGGCCTGATTAGTACAGACACTATGAAGGTCTCCTCTGAGACTTTTCCAGGGGCATTGCCCATGGTCTCCACTCAAAAGTTTTCACTGAACCTCCATTGGATGAGGGACTAAATTTCCAGAGTTGGTTAAGTTACATAGAAATAGGAATTAAGGAATAGGACAAAATCAGGCAGCTGCCTGTCCAACCATCCCAAGAAAACTCTGACTTGGAATATTTGTAAGTGTTCAGGATTCCAGAACCAGTGTTCCCTTAAATTTAAATGGGGGGGTCCCTGAATTACCTTAAAGTTATGTTCAAATATGTATGTCTATTGAAAAGTAATGCATAGTGGTTAACACTGGCTAGAGTTTTTATGAGAAACACCACAATAATATTCTCAAGTCCACTGGGGCCGGCGCTGTGGTGCAGGTTAATCCTCCGCCTGCGGCACCAGCATCCCATATCGGCACCGGTTCTAGTCCCGGCTTCTCCACTTCCAGTCCAGCTCTCTGCTGTGGCCTGGGAAAGCAGTAGAAGATGGCCCAAGTGCTTGGGCCCCTGCACCCACGTGAAAGATCAGGAAAAAGCTCCTGGCTCCTGGCTTCAGACCGGCACAGCTCCAGCTGTTGCGGCCATCTGGGGAGTGAACCAGCGGATGGAAGACCTTTCTCTCTGTCTCTACCTCTCTCTGTAACTCTAACTCTCAAATAAAATAAATAAAATCTTTAAAAAAATATTCTCAAGTCCACAAATTTCAAACTAGGTGATCTAGGATTGCTACTCAGTCTTTCAGGCTCAGCAGTTTCCTCATTACAAAACAGATACAAGTCGGCCGGCACCGCAGCTCAACAGGCTAATCCTCCGCCTAGCGGCGCCGGCACACAAGGTTCTAGTCCCGGTCGGGGCACCAGATTCTGTCCCGGTTGGCCCTCTTCCAGGCCAGCTCTCTGCTATGGCCCGGGAGTGCAGTGGAGGATGGCCCAAGTGCTTGGGCCCTGCACCCCACGGGAGACCAGGAGAAGCACCTGGCTCCTGCCTTCGGATCAGCACGGTGTGCCGGCCGCGGCGGTTATTGGATGGTGAACCAATGGAAAAAGGAAGACCTTTCTCTCTGTCTCTCTCTCTCTCCCTGTCCACTCTGCCTGTCAAAAAAAAAAAAAAAAAAAAAGTAATATCTGCTCAGGTTTATATAGGATGGTGTGTTGTCTCACTTAGCAAACTGTTGACACATTAGCTGCTCCACAAAGATGACAATCATTACCATGATTTGTTTTTTATTTGTTTGGTCGGTTTTTGGTCAGATTCTTGAAAGAGTCACTTATTCCAAAACAAACAAAACAAAAAGGGTGGTGGCCGCTGATCTAGAGCAATCATTCCCAAAGTGTGTGGAGTCCCTAGTCCCCAAGAAACATGCCATGGTGTCTGCAAGTTACCAACAATTCCTAAAAAAGCACTGTGCGGTTATTTGTTCTCCATTCTATTGACATCTGTGCTGATGTCACTAAAGTGATTACAGGTAAGAGTGAGGATGTTTAGGGCTTTGGCACCTGATTGTACCACATTTAAAACTATTCCACATTTAAAAGTAAAAGTCGGTTGCAAGGTTCCCTCCTTACTTTGGCCTGGCCCAGCCCCAGCTGTTGAAGACATTTGGGGAATCAATCAGCAGACGGAAGAGCTCTATTTATCTCTGCTTCTGCACCTCTCAAGTCTTTCCAATGAATAAGCAAATAAATTTTTAAAAATTCAATCTACATTCAAAAGTAGCAGTACTATAGCTTTCAGTTTTGTCTTGAGAAATGAATCATATATTTTGAATTATAAATTAATTTGTATTAAATTATTTTAATAATAAAACATTTACATAATATATTGTCTTATCATAAGTATCTCAAACACATTGTTCCAACGAATCTTCACAAAAAAGTCTCAGAATTATACTATTAGTTATTACATAATTATATTATTTTCATGGCATGCATTTCAACAAGGTGGAAAATGCAGAATGAACAGGTAACTCTTACTACAAAGCTAGTAAGAGAAGAAGTCAGAAATGCCAACCGAAGCTTAGTAGCACTCGAATTCCACACTCCAGAATTGTGAATGAAGCCATACTCTGCCTACACTTGTAATTCTGGGAGATTTGTTGCAGCTACTGCCTGTCAAGCTATCTTAGGTGTTTTGGTGTCTGGTGTCCCCAAGATCTCTGTGGCATACAACAGCAATGGCATTTCCCAATCACACTATATGTCTCTATGAGTCAAGTACAGCTCTGCTCCATATTTCTTTATATATATGGACCCAAGCTACTGGTCATCCTCTACTTAGGACGGGGGAGACAGAACGTAGTGAACCACGTGCTGCCTATTGAAAGTGTTACACAGTACAGCTTCCAGTCTCCTACCATTGGCCAACCAAAGTCATAAGGCCATGCCTCAGTTCAGCACAAAAGAAATGGGAAAAAAATCAAGTCAAAACAACTAAAATCATTCCTAGTAGAAGGCACCATGACTAGTACTAATCTGTTTTGTGTTTAAGTAGATCTGAGGACACATAGTTGACACTAGGTATATCCTACTAGCCATCCAGTATTAAAATTTCTTGTGGAGTGTAATGTTCTATGTGTTCTTCGGAATAGGCTACAATCTTGATGCTAATCAGTCCCTTGGATTCTATTCCTGAAATCCAATCTAGAGACAGCTCAAAGTATATTTGTTACCCATTTCTCCATCAACAACCGAGAACCTGCTAATTAGTATATTTAGAGGTGATAAATTAGTTTCAATGGATGAAAGTAAGGACTTCCTAATTACCATTACAAGTGACAAAAATTATCTTTAGTTGGTTAAATTAAAGGTACTAAAAATGCATAGGTTGCTTTTGGTATTTCTGAGACATCCTCTGTCCTTGGCAATCCAAGTGCTTGAAATTCAAATGACTACTGTTCGCCTGATGCAACTAGAGAGTAAAAGATTTCTGCCTCCAGACCCTTGGTCGGCTGTGAGTAGTGATTCAAACCAATTGATTGCCAGAGTTCCTAAAAGCGCAAAGAACAGAGTTCCTAAAAGGCAAGAACTGTTCTGTGCCTTTTGGCTAAGTAATATTGGTTAAAGGCTAATGTGCACATGAGAGCTGGAAAAGGATTGGGTGGAATTATATTCACCAAAAATAACTTCAAAGTCTATTACTGCAAAGGTTACCTGTTGAGAATGTCTCGTCTGATTGCTTAGTGCATTAGATTTTTCAGAATCACATTTAATTTAGATTAGTGTGCATGGGATTTGTTTCATTTTGAGATTCGGTTCTAACATAACATCACATCCAACAGCATGATTTATTCCAGCCCAGTTATGACCAAACCTTAATGTAACCTAATTTGAAAACAAAACATGACCAAGAGCTAAGTAAGTATTTTATTATCTCCCATAGCTACCATTTAAAAATCTGGAACACCTTGCAGTTAATCAGCATTTGCTATAGAGGAGACATTTAAGGGCAATTTATAACAAATCACTATGGACTCCACCAATGAGTAAGAAAATACTCACTAGATTTTAAATACGACCCAGAGACTAAATTCTTTGTACTGCCCTTCCCTATCCCTAGTCTCTGAGTGACAATGGTATTTGCAATATAACCTTACCTCTCACACTGAGTTAGACTACCAAAGAACAGGGAAAAATTTGTATGTATGGATTCTCTTTTAGTATCTTTCATAGATCCTTAAGGGAGTTACTTTATTTTCTTCATGTAATCTAATTATGCCATTATTAACAACTGCATCTGAATCAAATTTCTTATATCATTCAGAATTTCACAAAAATTCAATTACAGCCATAATTTCATATAGGTTCTTCTGTTGTACTTTGAATAGTTCTTTGCTGATCCCAAAACTAGATAGTTTAAAATGCCTATACACTCTTTTAAAAATCATAGGATTGGGGGCTGGCGCCGCGGCTCAATGGGCTAATCCTCCGCCTTGTGGTGCCGGCACACTGGGTTCTAGTCCCGGTCGGGGCACCAGATTCTGTCCCGGTTGCCCCTCTTCCAGGCCAGCTCTCTGCTGTGGCCAGGGAGTGCAGTGGAGAATGGCCCAAGTGCTTGGGCCCTGCACCCCATGGGAGACCAGGAGAAGCACCTGGCTCCTGCCTTCAGATCAGCATGGTGCCACAGCGCGCCAGTGGTGGCGGCCATTGGAGGGTGAACCAACGGCAAAGGAAGACTTTTCTCTCTGTCTCTCTCTCTCACTGTCCATTCTGTCTGTCAAAAAAAAAAAATCATAGGGTTGGATTTCATCTGATAAATATCACAGCCATAGTGAGATGTCAACTTTACAGATATTCTCTAACACACCACCTAACAGATCAAACATTATTGAGCTCAGGAAGACTGAAGGTGGACTGTTTATTTGCATATGGTTCTGGATCCGGGGGAACTTACAGATGTCATCGTGACATCAGCATTTCCTGAGGACCTGTTTGCACTCAGGTGACTTGAATGGTAGGTGTGCATGCATCTTGCCATATCCTTATTTGCATTTTCCTTCCTACGTGAAAAGTTTCAGATTAGTATTTCTGTCCTATTTTTTTTTTAGAAAGGTCTTCCTTCCATTGGTTCACCCCCCCCAAATGGCGGAACTACACCAATCCGAAGCCAGGAGCCAGGTGCTTCCTCACAGTCCCCCATGTGGGTGCAGGGCCCAAGCACTTGGGCCATCCTCCACTGCCCTCCTGGGCCACAGCAGAGAGCTGGACTGGAAGAGGAGCAGCCAGGACTAGAACCAGCGTCTGCATGGGATGCCAGTACTGCAGGCAGAGGATTAACCAAGTGAGCCATGG